ATAACAAAATTATTCCAGATACTAGTTGACATGCACTTTAGGGCAGCATCTGCACTAATGACTCAAAGCATCTTCTATAGTCATCTAAATGTCATAAATCAGTACTAAGGAAAGGTCATAGATTGTAAAAAAAAAAAAAAATCTGCAGATGGAATAATGGAACTCTGCCGTCAAAAAGGAGGTAAAGTACCCTTATTCTTTTTTACATCTATAATTTTTTACAATATAATTTTTATTAGGATTATTGTTAAAATACAGAATTATTAACAGTATATCTGAAAATACTGAAAATACTGAAAAATCACATCTGTGGTGATATAAGTATATATGAAATGTTCACATAGTATAGTGCAGATGTTCTAAACATTGAAAATATATTAACTATTTAACATAAAATGTTTTCAGTAGGAATTTCATTGCTCCTTTATACCTTGAAGCAAACTTGAAGGGTTATGGAAATGTAAAGTAGCACAAACAATGTATATTTGTGCCTATAAGTACAAGTTATACACTCTTTGTCTGGGTGGGTGATGAGCACCATTGTTTGCAAACCATGCTGAGAGGCAGAAATCATTACGTGACTTTGGGCCGATCATTCTTTTTCAGTCCAACTACTTCACAGAGCTGTTGTTCTGGGGGAAAGTAGGAGGAAGTCCTATGTAAGTCACCTTAACTTGGATGAAAGGCAAGATATAAAGCCAATGCTTCTTAAATATATACCTGACTTTCTTGGTGGGAATTGCAAACACAAACCTAGTAGTAAGATAACTTCAATTAATACATGGCAAATTTAGCTCAAAAGCAGTTGCAAAAGAAACATAGACTAACGTTCCAGTTATGACAATGATGTAACGTTTTCTATAGTTAAGGACTTAAGGCTGAAGAAATGATCCTGGAATAGCTAGGCTTTTCTTCTCCAAGATACGTTATTGTAAAAATTTAGAAGTGACCATAATCTGTTACATTCAACATGCAAAAAGCCCAACAGAGTCACATTTGACTTTCAAAAGAGCAGATTCTGTCATTTCCCCTCCTCCATGGTTTTAAAGTGGGACTAAATAAATTAATAGAGGTTACAGCTATGAATCTCTAGTAATACAATAGCAGTTGTATAGCAAATTTTGAATCATAGGCAGCATAGCTTAAGTATTGGTTGCTAGGGAACAACAGTGGAAGAGTGTGATGACCCTCATATTTGAATTTTCTCCTTTGGTTAGCTATCCAATTAAATTGGATCTTGGAAATGTAGTTGGTCATAAGCTGAATATAAGTCATCCGTAGGATATGACTCAACTAGACCAATGCAATTTTAGCAACTCACAGGGAAAAATAGATTAATTTAGAAAAGCTTTTAAATTAATCTCCCTCATTTACTATGATTAGTTCAAGAGACCTTTTTTTTAAAAAAAAATACACAAATTGGATCAGGCGCAAAGAAAGACAGTGAAGGTAGAATAAACTGGAGCCTGTTTTATAAATAGGGAGTGAGGGAACTGGGTAGTTTTAGCAAGGAGAAAATAATTGAAGCATACAGTACTCTTCAACTGAACTGCACTTCCGTTTCCAAAAGTCACGCAGAAGAAGGTAAAACTTGATCTTCTTCTATTTATGTTATTCTAAAACCTTTTCTCTATCACCTTAGAGCAGTGTTTCTCAACCTTGGCAACTTGAAGATGACTGGACTTCAACTCCCAGAATTCCCCAGCCAGCATTCGCTGGCTGGGGAATTCTGGGAGTTGAAGTCCAGCCATCTTCAAGTTGCCAAGGTTGAGAAACACTGCCTTAGAGTTTCAAGAGATATTCCTGCTGAGAGAGCCTTTCAATTCCATGCTCTTATGATA